TGCTGCCGATGATGTTGTTGTTGATGATGATGATGGTGATGATGATGATGATGATGATGATGATGGTGTTGATGATGACGATTATGAGGATTATGCTGATGAGCATGATGACGATGTTGCTGCTGATGATGACGATGATGACGATGATGATGATGCTGATAATGATGGTGATGATGACGACGAGGAGGAGGAGGAGGTATAAGACCAGTGCAAACCCAAGACTCATCAACGATGTTGAAACACACCATCCCTCCAAGCTCCCTCTGGACAGGCCCCGGCAAGGGTTCATTTGCACAGGGAAGTGCGCCGTTGGAGGACAGACGCATGAAAATCTGGACGCGTGCCAAAACACCACTCTCAGGATTCCAACGCCACGAGTCAACCTGACTGTTGCGTCTTGACGGTCCTGAATCGTGTCAGAACACCGTTCCTGGGACCTCAACACTGTGAAGCAACGCAACTGTTGCGCCCTGCCAATCCAGAGTCTCCCGAAAACGCCATTTCTGGAATGTTAGCCGTGAGACTCAGCGAAACCCTGTTACTTTTCGTGAAATGAATGTGTGCGGCGCCATGGCGGGAACCACATTTTGAAGACGAGCCGCCCTCAATCCGCAAAACTCTTGCAGTTTTTTAACGAATGCGCGCGGCGCTACGACGGGAGCCAAACTTTGAAAACTACCCGTCCACAATCCGCCAAGCTTTTGTAAACATTCAGGATGTATGTGCGCGGCGCGAAGGCGAGAGCCACATTTTGAAAGCGGCCCGTCTTCCATATGCGAACATGCTGCCAGTTTTTAAGCGTAAGGCTCATGGTAAGGAAGTCTCAGGCGAAACGCTCGGCCCGCCCTTCCTACGGGCTTCGGGGTGCGGCAGGGAGGAGGCAGTCGTAAGGAAAAGGAATGGAGGAAGAGAAGGAGGAGCAGGAAGAGGAGGAGGAAGGGGAGAGGATGACGAAGTCCTGAGGAGGATGCCGAGGAGGAGGAGGAGGAGGGGGAGGCGGAGGAGGGGGAGGATGCGGATGCGGATGAAGAGTGCACGCACGTGCGGGGCTAAGCAGACGGTGGGGGGGGGAGCAGGGGGGGGCGAGGGCGGCGCGCCTGGCGTAGACGATGCCGCAGGCCGCCGACGCGGGGCGGCGGCAAGGCGGCGGCGCGGGGTGGCACTCTCCCTCGCTCGCTCCCCGCCGACCGCACTCGCCGCCGCGACCGACGACGGCGCCCCCGACCCCACTCCCTTGCAAGTCCCACGCCCACCGACCTTCCCTCCGCAGCCCACGGATGGGGCCGAGGGGACACTCGACGGTGGAGCCCCGCCCGCAGGCGGCGTGAGCGGGGCACACTCGTACTCAGGCTGCCACGCAAATTCACCGTCCTCGTCTGGGACGGAAACAAACCTGAGATATTCATTCAGGCGGACAGGCACAGCCTCGGAAGAAGGGAGCCGAGGAAAGGATTGGGCTCTCAAGGCCTGGGCCTGGATCTCAGCGACCACCAGCGACGAGGGGGGTCCACGGTACGACGGATACAGGCCCTTCGCGGGGCGGCTCAGATTCTCCCTCCCTTTGCGGGAGGGAGGAGCACAGGGGTTGGCCAGGTTGCGTCCGTCAACCGCAGCCGTGAACCCACAAACAGCACAAAACTTGAGGCCAAAACGGGACCACTCCCTGAGGGCGTGAGAAGGATGCAAGGCCACGCCTCCAACCTTGGTCGCCCCACACACCGCCAGGAAACCGTCGCCGAGGAAACGGTCACAGAGGCCAGCGGAGGAGGAAGGAGGGTCAGGCCCAGCAGCCGTTGGGCAAGCCGTGGCCGCGAATTCCAGGAGCTTAGTCCGAGGCGCGATCTGAGAGCATCCAGAACACATCCAACGATTGCTGCACCGCGACAGGCGGTGCGACGAAGAGTTCAGGGCCCGAGCCAGTTTGGACGAAGACTGGGTCCCGGGCCTGGGAACTCTGGGGCCGAATTCAGGAGCAACAGCAACACTATCGATCAATGCGCGCCGAGCTCTTCTTCGCACTAGCAAGGCAGTGACATCCTAGCGATCCGTGAACGGGATCGGGTGTTTGACCGACGTTTCCCACCCCCTCCTCGCCGCCCACCCCGCCCAGACATCAGCACAAGCATTGCCGCGAGAGAGGAAGGCTTGACAAGGGGAGGTGATACGCTCGGGCTCAGCTTCCAGGTGGGAAGCAGTCCAGACAACCTCCACGGACCCTGGTCCACGATTTTTGGCCGCCTGCCGGATTCTAACCCAGAGATCAGCATTTCGGCCATAAGGCCGCGAAGCGCGGCCAGACCTCCAGCCCTCAACGACAGGCTTGCAATCACAAACGTAAACGATATCACCAGACGAATTCTCGAGGCCCAAGGCCAGTGCCAAGAGCTCTGATCGGGGCACAGTCTGTCGTCGTCCTGAGAGATAGGCGGCCACACCGCAGACGGGGAGCCACATAGCATCAGAAGGATCCCCGTCCGAAGTCCGACGCATGACTACCACCGCCGCTCCGCAGCGTCTCCGACGATCGTCTGAGCTGTGCTCTCCCCCTGAGCCGTCCCCAAACAGGTAGAGGGGGGTGCCCCGCAGGGGCCGAGAGCTCCTTCAGCAAGCACTGGCCGAGGACAATAGGGTCGGAAAAACCAGGTCCCTCCTGAAACCGAGGAACAGTGAGACTGGCTGCAGGCACCCCTCTCAACCACAAGGAAGGGTCGAGGTCAGCATTCGCCAACGCCTGCGGGATGAGTGCGTCCGTAGACGTGTAATCAGGGTGGGAGCAATTTTTCGGACATTCCCAGATGCGGTGGCGCAGCGTCTCAGGGGCAGCTCTGCACCGTGGGCACCGACGATCAACTTGGTACCCAGCATCGTGCTGCCCCTGCTGCGTCCACTGCCCTCCTGCTGTGACCGAGACCGTCGCACCCCACAGGTCCATGTCACCCTTCCTGGCGAAGGCCTCCAATTCACGCTGAATCCCATGCAGATCCGCTCCATCAGCGAGCTGTTCGCCATCTGGATGCTTGGCGGCCAGCCGCCAGGCAGCTGCACTGCAATCGTGTTCAAAGTCCGCCAGGAGCTCACTGAAATCCTCCAGCACGTTGTCGTTGTACCCATCCTCGCCGGAAGAGAGAAACGTGTAGTCCTCTGGCCCCTCAGCACCTGAGCGTCGCCAACGGGTGGCCTCCAGGGGCACACAACCCGCCTGCAACACTGTAGCTTGAAGGGCAGCAATGGGCCCTCGGACACCCCGCCAGCGGACACGATCACCCAGTCCAGCACGAACACGTTGCCAAACTCGAGCAACGCGGCCATGCAAATACGGGTGCGCAATCCACATACGAAACCACTCAGTAAGTACATCCCGCCGAAGCTGCACAGAGGGGTCACTTGTGCCAAGCGTAGCCTGCAAAACCGTCTGTAAGCATCGCCCCCTTTTGTGGCCAGCAATAGAAATCGACGCTTGCCTGCGCAGCTTGGTCATCATGGAGGGCGGCACTCCATGAGCTTGATGCCCATATGTAGCAGAGGGAACCACACCAGCCCTCCACAAGCCACGCGCCACCTTGCGGCTGCCAGCAAGTCGCCGCAGCTTCTGGATCTTGCCCTGTCTCGCCGTAGCCCTGACCAGTCGAGCACGAAACTTGGGTCGGGCGCGCCGTCGAGCGCCAGCTGCGTCAACTCCCACGGAGGAGGGGGAGGAGGAGGAGGGGGAGGAGGAGGAGGAGGGGGAGGAAGAGGGGGAAGTGGAGATGGAGCAGGATGGATGACCAAGATGAGGAAAGGGGGAAAGAGGACGGTAAGGACAAAGAGCAGGAAGAGGACGAGGATGAATGTCAGAGCCTAAGCAGTCTCGACCCTTGCACCGAACATCACCTCAAGCCCAACTCCGACCTCAATGCTGCTCCCTCCGCATCCGCCTTACTTTACCACTGCCCTCAGTCAAGCCTCTACCATAACCCCAGCCCCAACCCTCATCCTCACACTAATCCTGGCAGCTTATCCCCTTCTTAGCCTTGAACCATGATCGCGACATGGATCCGCACTCGTAACCCTGAACCCTAGCTGTAACCGTAGCCCCAAACGCACATGTCACCCTGACCCAACCCCAGTCCCAACCCTGGCTATAACCGCTTCCCCAACTCATACCGAATAAATTATATAGCGCCGCTTCTGACCCGTGATCGTTTTAGTGTTCCTTCCTGAGCGTCACCACGCGCCCCGACCTCCATTACGTTTCCTGCCCCCCCCCCGGCAAAGCATAGAGTGCGGGCTTCATCAGTGCCAGCCGCGTCAGGTCCAAGTTCATGAGGAATATGCAGGGCCACATCTGCTCTCGAGGCCGCTGTGGGATGGCGCCTCTTTGGGAAACATCCACAACAGCCCAATCCCCCACGACCATGAGGGACCCTACCCCGCGTGTGGAAAACCCAAGACTCCTGTCTACGAGGGCCACGTGACTGCATTGCCCTGCGCGCAACTCCCCCGCATTGGGGAACAACTGGCGCGCTTCAGAAAGGGCCGTGCCTTTGATAATCAAGTGACGACATCACTTCCTCGGCGGAAGGCCAGCGGAGGCGGCGGAAGCAAAACGGGGGCGGCCCAAGGCCATCGGAAGCAGGTGGAAGTAAAAGTTGCCCTGCTTGTTTTATTCAGGGTTTCCAGAACCCGCCGCATGCCCACCAATATTCTGGAGGGGATTGGTCCTTGATCCCAGCCCATCCTTTATTCCAGCACCAGGCCTAAACCGAACCATCCTTGCCTTCAAGCCTAACCCATACTCTGATCTGTCACCCTAACCGTTCCAAAACTCTATCCCCTCACCAGCTGTGTCCCTTCCTCAACCGCCTAGATCTCGCCCCAACTTAGATGTATGCAACGCGAGCGCATCCAATGTTGAAACGAGGCAGGGCGAGTTGAGGGAATGCCAAGCCGCGTCGGCCAATCCTGCCCCCAGCTTGGTCCAATCGGGCCAGCACACCTTCGGGGCACGCCCACCGCACGCAATGCAGGAGGTGGAGATGCACTTCGCACTGTACGAGACCACGCGGCTGTACGCCTTTGCAGGCGGCGTGCTGCCAGGCGGCAAGACCGTGCTTGGCTGCAAGGTGCTGGTGCTTCCACACCGAGGCGCCGAATAGATTCCCTGATCACGGCGAGCTCGTGCGCGAGGAAAACAAGGGCTGCTACCCACATCGGACAGAGTCCCGCAGCGCGTGGGGCTTCTGCAAGAATCTCAGGTACCATGAGGGCGGCTGAACCTGCGCAGAGCACAGCGTGGCACGCAAGAGCGGCACGACTGCGAGCGCGGGCGACCCCAACGTCGTCGCGGTCGAGGGTGCGCGCGCCTGGCCAGATGACATCGTAGCATACGCGGACATCATGGACGAAGAGAAGGCGACGTGCGGCGACCGTGCGGCAGTCTACTTGACGAAGCGCGGCGACCGCGAGGCAGTTCGCTTCAATTTCTTCAAGTATTCGTATTCTTTCGGCCAGGCGGTGTGAGACCCTGTGGCCGCAGCCTACGCTGCTGCCTCCATGTCCAGCGGCCTGGCGCCCGCGAGTGGTAACCTCAGGAACGCGCCCAGCGGAAGAGCCTCCCAACCTATCGCCGTGCTGCTGCTGCACCCTCTCCGGCGGCGCGTTTCTCAGTGGTCCGGTCCCGACCTTCGCTGACTAATCTGACGGCGCCCCGCACGAGCCTGAGTGCTGTGAGCGGTCGACACGCGAAGCCGCGCACCCCCGACGAGCGGCTCGCGTGGCAAGCGCGGCGCCCTGCCGGGCCCGACTCGGTGCCTCCAGGCGCGCTGGCAGCCGGGCGGAAGCAATGCTCTGTGGCCCGTGGGGTGCAGCGCCGATGGAGCAGGTCGTCGTCGTGTTCGTCTTGTCGTGGTGATGGTGGTTGTCTTTATAGTCGACGTCGATGTCGACATCGTGGTCGTCGTCGTGGTCGTCGTCGTCGTTGGGGTAATCGCCGTAGCCCACTGCCGTGGTGGACATCGTTGTTGTGGACGTGGTGTTCCCGTTGTGCTCCCGTTCCTGCTTCCCGCCGCCCCAGGGACTGCACCCGTCCCCTGGAGCCCGTGCCTTTCCTGTCTCGTGCCCGCGGGGCGTTGGCGGCCCCAGGTGGGGCTGGGGCCGTGCTGGGTTGGCCGCTGGTCTCGTGCCTTCCGTATTCTCTTCGCCCGCACGGGAGAGTTACCCCGCCAGAGAGACCTGTGGTGCGTGCCCACGTGGCCGCCCAAAAGCTGAGATGCGCTGCGATGGCAGCGGCTGGCGCGCATGGGCTTAGTCGCCCCCTGAAGCCACGCATCAGATGTTGCCTACGATTGCCTTTGCGTGCCGCCGGATTCCCAGAGATCCGGCGGAGTGCCTCTCCAAGCCGCAGCCCAAGCCCAGATGCGTGTCTGAGAGCTGCGGGGGCGCTGCAGACGGCCGCCGGGACGAGAGAAAAGACGCCCCGATCGAAAAAGCAAAGGCCCTTCGGATGTCTGGGCCTGCGGTTCGTGGTATCCCAGGGGGGGGGGGGCCTCTGCGGAGGGACAGCCTCGCCTCGTCGCCGGGCCGCGCACCAGAGAGCCCGCAGACTGGGCGCGCGGCGGCGGCTCCCGCGCCGAGGGGTTCGGCTCCGATTTTGTTGTCGGCGGGCGTGGCGCCCCCCCCCCCCTGCGTGTATTCCGGAGCGCACACTGCTGGCGCGGCACTGGCAAAACGCCATCAACAGGAAATGTTGGTGCTCCGCGCGGATTTCTTGGATCCGCGCTGGGCCCCCCAGCGGCGCCTCCGGCGCCGCCCTTGGCGCGCTCCGCGCGCCAGGGAGGTGGGTCCAGCGCATATCCGAGAAATCCGCGCGGAGTGCCAACAGTATATGTTAATTAATTTTTTTCTTCTTCTAATTGTTCTCACGGGTCGAGGTTATGCACACGAAACCGAACACCCATCAGTAAGTCATCCAAGTTGGAGTGGCCCCGAGCGCCCTTCCGCGCGAGCGCCCGTGTCGCCAGGGGACAGACCAGGCGAAAGCTAAAAATAGCTCGGCTGCCATCAACCTGCCCACCCCCACCCCCCAGACCAGAGCTGTTCTGGAGTGCGTTTCGATGCGAATTTCGATGGGAATCCAGCCGTAGCGACCAGCGCACGACACGGCACGTGCTTACAGAGTCTTTGCAGGATTCCGAGTCTCTCTTCATTTCGCTGTTTTCTCTTGCATGGTTGGATGTCCACGTCGCTTCGCGAGTTTGGATAGTTTTAGTGCGTGGCCAGACGGCGTGCGTGTTTCTAATCTGGCTTTTGGAGCGAGCCTTGTTTGAAGGGCCCAGAACACGCCTCCCCCAGTGGACAAACAGCTCCAGGGGGCACGAATACGCGACGAGAGCGGCCCAACAGGGCCCAAGGGCAGCTCGACCACACCCAAGACGGCTCAAGACGGCCCAAGCAGCCCCCAAGACGAGCCGAGGGGACCCGAAGAGCACTCCGCCAGGCGACAAAAATCAAGGGTTCCCAATGTGTTGTTGTATGATATCCTCATATTTGCTTTTCCGCTCCTCAGGGCGCCCACAATGGGCCTGGCGACCCCCAAGCTTGCCCCTACGATACCCGAAAGAGCTCCTGGAGTGCCCCAGGAAGGGCCCACGACGGTCCAGGAGGGGCCCAAGATGGCTCAAGCGGGCCCTCAAAGTAGCTTAAGACGGCCCAAGAGGCCCCCGCAGGGGCGCAAGACGGCCAAAGAGATCCAAGAGATCCCCAAGACGGCCCAAGAAACGCCCAAGACGGCCCCAGCACGGGCCAAGAGGGCCCCAAGAGGGCCTCAAGGCAGCTCAAGAGGCCACCGAACCAGCCCGAAAACAGTTCCCAGATACCCCCAGGGCCTCATCTCTAGCATGCGTTCAAGTGGATCGAAGACGGCCCAAAGACGGCTGGGGAGGGGCCCAGAGGCTTGCGAAGAATGCACCCGATAAGCCAAAGTCATCGATTTTGAGGCCCAGCTGGTGCGACCCAGACGGGTTTTCTAGCCTTCGTTGTGGTTTGGCCCCTGGTGCACGGCCCGGAGCAGAGGCCAGCCTTCGATGCACCGTGGCTCGGCCCTGGTGGCGCGTGCTGCAGAGCCAGCCTCGGGCACCCCTCTTCGTGATTTAAGATCCTCCTTCGGTCTCGGGGTGGATCCAGAGAGGCGCAAGACGCTCTGAATAAGCTCCCGAGACTGCCCGCAACGCCGCTGGGACCCCCCAAGTAAAATTGTCACAGGTTCCATAATCAACCCCGACGAAGATCCAGAATCGTCCCTCCATCTCTCATTGGCGCGTTGCCATTTTGCGAGGCGAGTTCCCTGGGCGCGGCTAGAACCAAAGCTCGCGCGAAGCGCGCGTGCGTGGTTCTAGTGCGTTATATTCTGGCCCTCGGGGGGGCAGATTTATCCATATCCGCCTCCCACCTAGGTCCCCGAAAATCGATGTTCCAGGTAGCCGCGATGGATACATCCCCGCGTAGCATCAATGCACAAATTTCCTATGAGTTCGGCTGTCCCTTTTAGTTTCTCCCTTCCCTATCGGCTTGTCCCTCTAGGTTGAGCAGTCGTGTTCTGCCCGAAAATTTCACGCTTCCCTGCGGGTGTGGTAGCATTGTTGTCGACATTCTCAATCCAGAGCCCAGTTGTCTCTTTCAACGCTCTCTGCCCCGCGAGATTCTGTGCGATCCTCACCCGAGAACGCGACGCGGGACCCCCAGGGGGCATCGGCAACCTCGGGGGCCCGGCGGCCGCGGTATGGTCGTCACTTGTCGAAGACATGCGGCGTGACCTTCAGCGGTGCTAGAAAACACCCGCGTCGCATCAAGGTCCCAGGTTACCCGTGAGCTGGGCTTTCCCTTTCAGTTTCTCGTAAAGCAGCAATTGTTCTTGTCAGCTTGGCATATGCATACTGTCCGAGAATGTTGTGCCTATTGACCGACATCATCGTGTATGGTAGCATCTTTCTCGAGATTCGTAATTCAGATTTCGGTTGTCTCTCTCTCTCACTTCTTTCCGCGAGATCCTGTGCGGCCACACCTTCCACTCCCGGTGCCTGTCGCGATGGTGCGACGCCACGTGCCCGGTGTGCCGGTTCCAGCAGCACCCGTACAAGAACTCGTGTTGCGAGGCAGGGGCCGTCGGCCGTCGTCGCCATCGCTTCTGGACCAAAAATAGACATTGTGGACTCCAAGTCGTCATTTATTGCATTCCAAGTTGTGCCATCAATTCGGTGCAATGTGGTGGAATCCACGGCGCAAAGCAATGCAAAGCGACGCATTGCAAAGCGATACAATGCAAAGCAAGACAGAGCAACGAAATGCAGCGTAATGCAAAGAGCATTGCGAAGCAAGGCAACACACGACAAACCGATGCCAGGCATTGTAAAGCAATGCAAAGCAACGCACATAACTGCAAAGCAAAACCAACCAACCTAAGACAGTGCTAAACAATGTAAAGCAATGCCATGCACAGCAAGGCAAAGCAAGGCAAAGGAAGGCAAAGCAAGGCAAAGCAATGCAGAGCAACGCAATGCACATCAACGCAGTGCACCGCAATGCAAAGCAACGCAATGGAACTCAATGCAAACTGCTGCAAATACATGTAAACCAACGCAAACTAATTCGAAGCAGTGCAAAACAACGCAAAGCGATTCACAGCATTGCAACGCAGCGCTATGCAAAACACCGCACAGCAAGGCATCGCAACGCAGTGCAAAGCAATCCGATGCAAAGCTCTGCAACGTAAGGCAAAGCAACGCAATGCAAAGCAACGCGAAGCAGGAGAAATCACGACGGGCGGCGACGGGGCGGCGACGGGGCGGCGACGGCGAACACGCAGCCGCCAGACCTACACACGGGCCCAGGCGAGGGGCGGCGACGAGGCGGCGACGAGGCGGCGACGGGGCGGCGACGGCGAGCAGCGCCCCGCCAGATCGGCACGCCGGCCACGTCGACGGGCGGCGACGCGGCGACGGCGGCGAGCACGGAGCCGCCCGACGGGCAGGCAAGCCCAGCTCCTCAGGAAGCGCGTAAGGCGCCTCGGCACTGTTTCGGCATTTGATGCTCGCAGACAAGACGTCGTGTAAGGCCCTCGGAGGGCCCGAAGGCCCTCGGAGGCTCTGGGACGTCGTCACCGTCGTCGTGCCTCCTGCCCTCCCTCATTCACCCTCCCTCCTCTCCTCCTCCACCTCCTCCTCCTCCTCCTCCTCCTCTGCCCTCCTCCTCTGCTCCTCCTCCTCCGACACGCACCCCGATCGGGGAGTCTCGAGCCCGCTGCTGGCAACTGCCCGCCCTTGCGTTCCACGCGCGAGGGTGCTCGCCCCAGGCCTGCGCGACGGACCCAGGTAATCAAAGGACCAGGAGGTGGTCTTGCGACAGCTCGCCAAGCATGTACCGTGCCAGTTTCCAGTGGCGGCTGGGCTCCTTCGTCGGGTAAAAGAGCATTACTTCTCGTACTCTCTCATCCTCCCCACTGCTGCTGCTCCTCTTCCTTCCCCTTC